TACATGTTGTACTGCATACATCAAACATTCATGCCAAAAAAAGGAAAAGGAATACTACTGAAACCTTTTAATAGCTGAACAGATATAAGTATTGAAAATAAGGTACAAAATCGGCCTTTATAACAACTGCATCAAGACAATACTACCATAAAGCAATATTAGTGCTTCAAGCTTTTAAAATGTTAACGTGATCAGTGAAAGGAATAAAAACTGGTAGGTACATTTCTTTCTTTCCTAAAAAATAGCTTGTTTGCATTGGCAAACCCATGTACGAGGGAGGTGGTCACCTTTTTTTCCCTCCACAGAGGGATCTGATGTATTAGTGTCAACTTTGCCAGGGGAACCCTTTTCTTCTTACCCCCAAAAAACATGAATGATACATGAAGAACTTGACAAAAATATATCCTCATCATCAATCTTACTATTGACTCAGAACATGTTAGACTTGCAGAGACAAAACAAGATATAAAATAATACTTTGATAATGTTTTTTTTTTTGCTGGAAGTCTATCAAAATAAAAGACCAATTTCAACATTGATATTGAAGCAGGATGTGTGGGTGTGAGGGAGAGGCTACATTACAGGTGAGACGTTAGAGCTACATCTCTAAATCCTATTTGTGGGCAGCAATACAAAATCATTTCCTCTATATCGTTTTAGCTTTCCATTAGATTGTACACTAGCACAATACAATATTATATATTTTTTTAAAGAAAATACATTTAAATAAAATACAATGTAAAGAGCACCTTATCCCCAAACAACATGTCTTTAACAGGTAAATAATTTTTGGAAGCAATGGCACAGGAATAATCAATGGTTATTAGCGATGCTTATATGAATCATAGGATGGATGAATATCAGACAGACAATACCATCTATAGTCTCAGAACAGCTCCACAGCAACTTGTGACATACCTGATGACATACTGTTGTACAAATGCTCAATAATGTGTGAATTCATCCATCCAGCATGTACAGTCATGGTCAAAAGTTATGAGAATACAAATACTAATTTTCACAAAGTCTGCTGCCTCAGTTTTGATGATGGCAATTTGCATATACTCCAGAATGTCATGAAGAGTGATCAGATGAATTGCAATTAATTGCAAAGTCCCTCTTTGCCATGAAAATGAACTCAATCCCCCCAAAACATTTCCACTGCATTTCAGCCCTGCCACAAAAGGATCAGCTGCCGTCATGTCAGTGATTCTCTCGTTAACACAGGTGAGAGTGTTGACGAGGACAAGGCTGGAGATCACTGTCATGCTGATTGAGTTAGAATAACAGACTGGAAGCTTTAAAAGGAGGGTGGTGCTTGAAATCATTGTTCTTCCTCTGTTAACCATGGTTAACTGCAAGGAAACACGTGCCGTCATCATTGCTTTGCAAAAAAAGGGCTTCACAGGCAAGGATATTGCTGCTAGTAAGATTGCACCTAAATCAACCATTTATCGCATCATCAAGAACTTCAAGGAGAGAGGTTCAATTGTTGTGAAGAAGGTATCAGGGCGCCCAAGAAAGTCCAGCAAACGACAGGACCGTCTCCTAAAGTTGATTCAGCTGCGGGATCGGGGCACCACCAGTGCAGAGCTTGCTCAGGAATGGCAGCAGGCAGGTGTGAGTGCATCTGCACACACAGTGAGGCGAAGACTTTTGGAGGATGGCCTGGTGTCAAGAAGAGCAGCAAAGAAGCCACTTCTCTCCAGGAAAAACATCAGACTGATATTCTGCAAAAGGATACAGGGATTGGACTGCTGAGGACTGGGGTAAAGTCATTTTCTCTGGTGAATCCCCTTTCCGATTGTTTGGGGCATCCGGAAAACACCTTGTCCGGAGAAGACAAGGTGAGCGCTACCATCAGTCCTGTGTCATGCCAACAGTAAAGCATCCTGAGAACATTCATGTGTGGGGTTGCTTCTCAGCCAAGGGAGTGGGCTCACTCACAATTGTGCCTAAGAACACAGCCATGAATACAGAATGGTACCAACACATCCTCCGAGAGCAACTTCTCCCAACCATCCAAGAACAGTTTGGTGAAGACCAATGCCTTTTCCAGCATGATGGAGCACCTTGCCATAAGGCAAAAGTGATAACTAAGTGGCTCGGGGAACAAAACATCGACAATTTGGGTCCATGGCCAGGAAACTCCCCAGACCTTAATCCCATTGAGAACTTGTGGTCGATCCTCAAGAGGCGGGTGGACAAACAAAAACCCACAAATTCTGGACAAACTCCAAGCATTGATTATGCAAGAATGGGCTGCCATCAGTCAGGATGTGGCCCAGAAGTTAATTGACAGCATGCCAGGGCGGATTGCAGAGGTCTTGAAAAAGAAGGGTCAAAACTGCAAATATTGACTCTTTGCATAAACTTAATGTAATTGTCAATAAAAGCCTTTGACACTTATGGAATGCTTGTAATTATACTTCAGTATACCATAGCAACATCTGACAAAAATATCACATTACACTGAAGCAGCAAACTTTGTGAAGACCAATACTTGTGTCATTCTCAAAACTTTTGACCACGACTGTACATGATGGATACTATTCACTTAGAGAAGGAAGTAGGCTGAATGAAACTTGTCTTGACTTGCATCTCTACTGGGTCTACAGTACTTAACAGTTAACCATTGCAGCCCAAAGGTGATGCAATACTAAACATGTGCTGCCTGGCTGCGTTTCCCCACTGAGTGAGAGAGGTTGGTAAACAAGGTACAGCTGATGAGGTGTTACCTGGTGATTGGACTACCGCCGTATCACTACGTTATCAGAGTTGAGGTGGACCTCCAAAGTCATGACAGAAAGAACAGCGTTCAATCTGACGTTTTTCTACCTTGAGAGCATGCCAACTAGTGGAAGCCTGTCCTGTGCTGTTGATTGGTCTTAAACACGCAATAGAGGAGCATGTCACAACAATAACCCTACCTCAAATATGCATGTATAGCAGGAGACCAGTTGAACTTTTTTAAAACAGACATAGCATTTTTACAAACATGCCATCATACTGTAATTATCATTGATAATGTTGAGTTAACTCCAAAAGTACGGAATATCCCAGTCAGCAGCTTCTATTATGAATACGCTTGCATAAGAAATATAATAGAACCAAGAAAAGGACATGAGTTTCTTGACACTACACACGTAGTTACAGAGTAGGAGAGAACCATCCAAAGAGACGAGAAGACACAGGAAGACGTTTTTACTGAGAGATGACGAGCTTGAGCTGGATGACTAGAACAGAAAGAGGAGCAGACAAGCAGCTTAAATGGGCATGAACAGGAAGAGCCGAGTACTTAAAGAAGAGCTAGCATGTACAAAACGCCACAAGATACATGTAAGAGAGAGTTACTAAAAGACGATAGTCACAGCCATGAGAAGAGCGATGCAAGAAATGAAAGTAGAACCAGAAGCTTTAGAAGACAGAGGAGCTGCGAGATCAGAGGCAGAGTAGACAGGCGAGAGACCGAGCATCGAAGGAGAGTACAACAGGAGAGGGACGAGAGCGAAGACACGAAGAGAGGAGGAGACAACAGAGAGAGCGAGAGAGAGACGAGGAGACAGAGCGAGAGAGACACAGAGAGAGCGAGAGCGAGAGGAGAGCGACAGGAGGAGGAGCAGCGAGACAGAGCGAGAGAGCGAGCGGAGACAGAGCGAGGAGACAGAGCGAGGAGCGAGGAGACAGAGCGAGCGAGACAGAGCGAGCGAGACAGAGCGAGAGAGAGCGAGCGAGACAGAGCGAGAGAGAGCAAGCGAGACAGAGCGAGCGAGACACAGAGAGCGCGAGAGACACAGAGAGCGCGAGAGACACAGAGAGCGCGAGAGACACAGAGAGCGCGAGAGAGACACAGAGAGCGCGAGAGAGACACAGAGAGCGACAGAGAGAGACAGAGAGCGAGAGAGAGCAAGAGAAAGAGCAAGAGAAAGACAGAGCGAGACAGAGAGAGAGCGAGAGTGAGAGAGACACAGAGAGAGCGAGAGAGACACAGAGAGAGCGAGAGAGACACAGAGAGAGACACAGAGAGAGACAGAGAGAGAGCGCGAGAGAAACACAGAGAGAGCGCGAGAGAGACAGAGAGAGAGCGTGAGAGCGAGAGACACAGAGCAAGAGAGTGAGACACAGAGAGAGCGACACAGAGAGAGCGACACAAAGAGCGCGACACAGAGCGAGCGCGACACAGAGCGAGCGCGACACAGAGCGAGCGCGACACAGAGCGAGCGCGACACAGAGCGAGCGCGACACAGAGCGAGCGCGACACAGAGCGAGCGCGACACAGAGAGCGAGCGCGACACAGAGAGCGAGCGCGACACAGAGCGAGAGAGTGTGAGAGAGAGAAAAGGGCATTGAGGCCCAAAGCAGTTTTTGCTGACACAAGGGAATCAAGAGACTAGTCTGCTACAGGCTTTTAGCTGAGATACAACACCAATGTTCTCAGTACAATGTTAAAAATTGTTTTGTTGTAGAATCAATGATAAATGGCCTTCAGATTTAGCTTGAGGCAGTCCTTCAACAGAAGAAGAGTTGAGTCTTCCGGGCATTTACATTTCCCAAGGCCAAGAGTCCAACACGACAGGGCTGTGTGCCAAGAACCCCACCGCAGATATCATGATAACAGGAATAGTAAGAGAGAGAGATAGAGAGAAAGAAAGGCGAAAGGGCATTCTGAGGAACAAAGCAATTTTCCTGACACAAGGGAATCAAGAGACTACAGTCTGCTACAGGCTTTTAGCTGAGATACAACCACACCAAGGTTCTCTCAAAACAATATGTTAGCTTTTTTTTGTAACAAGGTTTCCATTTTTAAGAGGAGCCACAATTGTAATGCTAAAGTCTATGTTTTCTGGTTGTAAGACGTAAAGACGCCCTACGCTGGGCTGGGCTAGCAGACACAGAGGGGAGCAGTGAAGATAAGATAGATGAGAGAGCAGCAGCTGGTGTGGTTGGTTGTAGATGGGGGGTGGTGTTGTAGTAGGCCGAGACTGAAGCCTGGGACTCTAGTAGAGGAGGATGCGTCTTTCGATGGCCTTGCGGCAGATGGGGCACTCGCTCATGCGGTCACCACACAGCTGGCAGGTGCCGTGGCCACACATGAAGATCATGTTCTTCAGCCGGTCCAGACACACTGGACACATGGTCTGGAGAGACACACACAGTAACACTTAGTACTCATCTCTCAGCGGAGTCATCCCAGTTCTGATATAAACATATTGTATTTGGAAAATGGTTGCTCTAAGACATGGCTATAGATGCCAAAAGAGTCTAAAGCCATGTCTCAGGGCAAGGAAAAGGTGTTTAATATCCACACACTACAGTGCCTTCAGAAAGTATTCATACCCTTGACTTATTACACATTTTTTTGTGTTACAGCCTGAATTCAACATTTTCTCTCACCCATCTACACACAATACCCCATAATGACAAAGTGAAAACATGTTTAGACATTTTTGCAAAATCATTGAAACTAATCACAAATCTAATTTACACAAGTATTCACACCTGAGTCGATACATGTTAGAATCACCTTTGGCAGCGATTACAGCTGTGAATATTTCTGGATAAGTCTAAGAGCTTTGCACACCTGGATTATACAATTTTTGCATATTTTCTTCAAGCTCTGTCAAGTTGGTTGTTGATCATTGCTAGACAGCCATTCTCAAGTATTGCCATAGATTTTCAAACCGATTTAAGTCAAAACTGTAACTAGGCCTCTAAGGAACATTTAATGTCATCTTGGTAAGCAACTCCAGTATATATTTGGCCTTGTATTTTAGGTTAAGTGTCCTGCTGAAATGTTAATTTGTGTCCCAGTGTCTGTTGGAAAGCAGACTGAAGCAGGTCTTTCTCTAGGATTTTTACTGTGCTTAGCTCTATTCATTTCCCCCCACAAAAACTCCCTAGTCCTTGCCCATGACAAGCATACCCATAACATGATGCAGCCACCACCATGCTTGAAAATATGAATATGAAGAGTGGTACTCAGTGATGTGTTGTGTTGGATTTGCCCCAAACATACTTCCACTTTCACATTATGGGGTATTGTGTGTAGGCCAGTGACACAAAATCTCAATTTCATCCATTTTAAATTCAGGCTGTAACACAACAAAATGTGGAATAAGTCCAAGGGTGTGGATACTTTCTGAAGGCATTGTAAGTGAACGTTTATTGGATGTGCCTAGCATACACACACACAAAGTGGACTGTTTAACATTTGTTATTACAATTCAACCAAATCTGAACCAAGTATATAAACTAAAATGATGCATGTCGTTTAATGATGTCTTTAGTACATATCACCATGTCTTTCGTACATACCACCACGCTTACCTGCTCCTTGATGTCCTGCAGTTGTTGCTGCAGCTTCTGAACGTCAGCGTTGACATTGGTGTTGTCTTTGTCTCTCTGCATGGCCGGGATGTTACCGCTGGCTGTAGGAGGGATACAAGGATAGAACGCACACAACGTTGAGAAACTAACCAACAACCAACATATGCAGGCTCTTAAACTCGTGGCCCCCGAGCCGTTTTAATGCGGCCTAGAGAGACCGCAAGCGGGAGAGATTGAGATGCCTTTCATTCTGTTGGTGGCAATGTCAACGCAAACCTCCCTTTTATTGACATGCTGCTTTAAAGGCCAAACGAATCAAGCAATCATACAGCCCTGTCTATGTGGGCCATACTGGGAAGAGTTCTACACTTTAATCCAGGCCTTTTTTAACAAGCAGGGATTTCAGAGTTCGACACATGCACTTCCCCAGACAGTGTTCGGCTGAAAATGGTCCGAGGCCCAGTGCTTGAGGGCACAACCTGTCTGAATGGTGAAAATCAGTGTAATTGTGTACTTGTATGCGTGTGCGATTCTGTGTGTGTGGTGTGGAGCGGTCAGCGAAGGATCGCTGCAAAGGAAAGGGGGTTTAGGCAGCAGGGCCTAGGCCAGGCAGGGCAGACAGCAGTGGGGAGTTTTGAACCAGGGCAGAGGATGAGATACTTACACCAACTTAGCGCCAGATTGTTGGGCTGGAGCAGATCCTGCTGCGACCCCCCTGCCATTAGAGCTGAGTTAGAGCTACCTGCTGAGAATAACCAGTCACAGTGTTATAGCAGGAGCCCCAGATACAACTCCACAAGACAAGGCCTGAGGAGGAGCAGTCTACTCTCTATTAAAGGCCCCGAGAGAGAGAGGGAGGGCAAGGAAAATGAGGTTATTAAATCAGAAATAGATGTTAGGTGGGAGGTGTGGGGAGAGGAGTCTTTTCTAGATAGAGTAAGGCAGCTGGCTGCAACCGCTTCCTTCCAAGTCGAAAAACAAACACACTAAGTAGTATTATTGGACAAAAGCTACCAGGAGAAAAGCTGTTTGGGTCAGCAGTACCCAGCAGGTAACCTGACAACTCTTAAGTGCTCCCCATTAAACACTAACTAACACTAAGGCTAGGAGAGTCTCGTCTAGGTTGGCATCCCTCTTCAAATGTCAAGGGACATAGGGGAATGTGCATTGTGTGTGATAGACGATGTACTTTGTATTTGAAGAGATCGGTGTGTGTGATATGTGACTTTGTGTGGCAACACACTGAAAGATCTTTCGACAAGCGAATCTTTGGCAAATCAATATAAAATCAGTGAACTTACAACAGTTTCCCCTTTAACTCAACATAAAAGAATAAGGACAACAAAATAAAGGGAACTGCGTGTGAGGTGCAGTCATAAAGGAGGGACAATAATGTGATAGAAGACTGTGTGCAACTTAAAGACACCACTAGGGATGGTGAACATAACCCAAAATACACACATTAAAATGACCAACACTGTACCATCACTGCTTAGCTAACAGATTGATTTGGATGGAGAAATGGACTGATGGTGATATTGAAAGCAGTTTGCCAAATATACATTTAGGAGCCAGCTAAGGGAGAATTAATAGCCAGTTATGGAGGCCAATTTCTGCTAATGAAATTAGTGCATGCGGCTAAAATGTTATAAAACTGACATGAAGGAATTACATGTTATGATTAAAACACATTCCATAACACTTGGTAAGCCAGTTCCTGTCTGAGTAAATTAACGATCATAGATTATGCATTAATGACCTCAATTAGGAAGCTGTGTGTCCTAGTCTGGGAACATAACACATTCAACTAAAATACACAAAACAATGACAACATTAACATTTAAATAATGCATGAGCAAGACTGACGTGAATCAGAAAACCAAAGCCAACACAAACAGACAGAACAAGGAGGGGAAAACAAAAGGATGGTGAGTCATGACAAGAAAGAAAAGGAGGATAAAAAAAAGGGAATTAAAAGGGAACGTGTGGAAGATTCACTCACTAAGGTCCTCATCATCCTCATCATCATCATCATCATCAGCTGCATCATCCTCCATACCTTTCCCTCCACAACACAGGACGAAGGGCGTGCGGCGTTCCACAACAGCCCGGCATTGTACGCACTTCTTCATGAGGCTGGCACAGTCTACAGCGAGGGAGGGAACAAACACAGAATCACAGGACAGTAAGGCCCGGTAGAACGGGTCAAAGATTCTGGAAAATCCTTAAGTTCTTGCAGCGAGGCAGGGTCCCGTTCAGCAGGGCACAGCGGAAGCAACCTAGGCTGGTTCACTCAATATACTTACTCTCACAAGCGCACATGTGACCGCAGGGCTCGAAGAGCACGGCAGCCTTCTTGTCAGAACACACGACACACTCCTCGATCTGTATGGAGACAAAAAAACTGATGTCAATGAAGGGAAAGAGAAGAGAAAGTCCTACCTCTGATTGGAGGATGTCTTTACCCCCCAAACAGATTGAAAACATCTATCAATTGATTCTCTCATTAGCAACTTATACAGCTTGATACCTACCGAGGCACTACAACAGTTTGCCTTAATCATTAAGGGACATCAATGGGAGACTTCGAGCGAAAATGGGAGTTAAAAGCTCGCAGATCCCAAGTCAGAATACCGCCCTAAATGTTCCAATACAGACATAATCACTTTATTGAGGCTGGGTGGGTGTGCAACAGTACCTTGGTTCTGGACTGGACCTGGTCCTTGCAGATGAGACACTTCTTGACGCGTGGGGAGCAGAGAGAGCAGGTGGCGATGTGTCCACAGGGTCCGAACAGGGTGTCTCTCTTCATGTCAGAACACACCATACACTCCTCCAGGGTCTCACTGTTACTGTTCAGAGACGGGCTGCGAGAACCCACCTGGCCACTGGAGGGGAGAGAGAGGGGGAGAGAAGAGGGCGTTTGAGAAAGAGGAGACAGGATACAAATGGAAGATAGGGAGACAACTAGTTGAAGCGCAACAACGCAATCTAAAATAGTCTAAACCATGTTATACTGTGGGTTGTAAGGTTTGGGCGGGGGGCTTGGTAAAAGGGCTAGGGTTTCTTACCTGGTCTTTTCCTTGTGGCACTTGGCCAGGGCCTTACAGAGGCTGGGGTCGGGGCAGAGGTCCAGAGGAGACTGGCCCTTCTTGTTGCGGATGGTAAGGTCTGCTCCGTTAGCCGCGAGGAAGCAGGCGATGGACGCTGCACTCTTCTTCTCTGCTCCCTGGGTGCCCAGACCCATGATCAGCTGTGGAGGAGGACCAACACACGAGTCAGTAACTCTCTCTTTCTGTGTCTCCCTTATTCGTTCAGCCATTCTCTGTCTTTGTCCCATTCCAGCTCCACCAGACAGAGGAGAGCAGAGCAGACAGTGTCTAATTGGAATGTGTGAAGTAGTGTGTAGGGCTGTACAAGTTGAGGCTGGGTCACTCTCCCATAGCATCACTTTACAAGATGACAATTGAATTAGCCACTGGTTAGAAAGAGTCAGACATGTTGAGGATATATTACTGGGGAGACAGTGGCTTTGAAATGGCCCAGCCAGCCGAGTGAGGAGCTGTCTCGGCATAGTAATGAGCCGAAATGCTGGTTAAAATCACAATGAAGCACGCCCCCTTATGTATATCTCTCAAATGGGACTTTCCTGTTTAACCCCCTAGAGTCGATTGACGCAGTGTCGCACTTCCACATCTGCGGTGAAAGGTGGCAGAGCTAGAGCATTGTCTGTCAGACCATGAGCCATCCCAAAAATTGGTCTTCTCACTTAACCGTCTGTAGCGTCCGAACGGTTTGGCCTACAAACTATTATGACCACTCTATGGAAAGGGGAGACTGCCACAAACACGATGGTGTGCTCTCTACTACCCCACAAGTGTCACGGGACTCGTCTGAAGGTAAACGGTACCGGTTTAAAAAACTAAATGGAAGTACAAAGGTAGTTTTGTGCCTACCCAAAAAAGGCGTTAAATATGTGTAAAATATATCTCTCCTAGATTTAGGGCAGACACTTTAAAACCTTGTTTCTTATGATTTATTTTTTGACTGTCCTTTTTGCCATTTATGAATGTGTTATTCAATGCGTTTCTATGGGCTTTAGTAGTAAAGGCCAAAATCAATATTTTATCATTTTTGTATATATATTTTTTATACCTAAAAGGGGTCCTAAAATTCAAAATCAAATAGCTAAATGATCCACAGTATGACCATCTTAAAACAATTCCATATGTCAACTTAGCGCACCCCCCCCCCCAACGTCTTAGACTCGAAAGAATTAAATACAATATAAATGCTTAATCCCATACCGTGTTTTTGGATGGTTCCCAGGGCTCCACCTTGCTGACGTCCTGCATGTCCTGCAGCTGGCGGAGCTGGGACAGTGTGTGGTGACGCAGCGCCTCGTGGAGAGGAGTGTCCCCGTCCTTGTCCTGCACGTCCAGCTTGGCCTCCGCTCGCACCAGTAGCTGGAGACAGACACACAGCATTCCAAATGAACATGGTGCCAAATAAAAATGAGCATTTATTTGTATAACAGTTCAGTACCCATTTCAGTACGATCATCATTCAAATGAGTGTAGCATCATATCATAGCTAAAGGTCCTGCACATGACTGTGGTCCTGCTGCGCCAGTCTGAAGCTGCACTTCCCAACCACTCCACAAGATGGCGACGTAACAACCATTCCCAGACAGGACCCATATTACTCCTCTCACACGTCCCTCCCAGAAAGCATTCTCCTTTCCTTGGCACTACGTCAGTTTGGACATAGCGGGCTAATTCTACAGCAGGAGATCCTCCATTTTAAATGAAACATGGGTTACTGTCTTTGATGTTCTCAACAGCCTTTAGTGCACCGTCAGGGGCACAGATAGTGAGATAACTACAGATCTTCAATTAGTGGTTGGAGAGAGGGAGTGAGGAGAGGAGCGAGTGAGTAAGGAGAGTAGAAAAGAGGGAGGAGTGAGGAGAGACTGACCCTGACTATCTGTGTGTGCTGTCTCTCCACGGCCAGGTGCAGGGCCGTCTGCTGGTTTACGTTCTGGATGTCCAGGCTGGCACTGCCCTGAGAGGAGGAAACAGACGGAATACACAGAGACGGGGTGGGGAGAGCGAGAGGAGAGAGAAAGAGCGTTAGCATTCAAATATTCCGGTATAAACTCCCCAGTATAACATGCACACACTGGTTCTGCAGTGTACCTGCTACTGTATTCTACAGTACTTTGGTGCATGACCTGCATGTTTTAAGCTAGGGCTGAGCAATTTATTGAATACATTCGAATTCATACTTTAGCGCGATGTTCCAAACGCCTTTGTCAAGAATAAAGGTTGTTTTTCTCATTTTTATGCGCGTTTCTGTCCGCTTGTTCTCATGACGTTGTCTCGGTCTTGTCTCCTTCGCTCCTTTTGTGCCGTGTACATCTTACCACTTGCTCACACCAAGCCCCTCCCCCTGTCACTCACAACAACAAAGACGAAAGATCACTTCTTCCTCTGACAACAAGCAGGTTCAACTCGGTATTTGCATTCGAGGTTTGGTCCAACAGAATCGGTCATATGGACACCGAAACACATTGCCTTACTGTAATAGAGGAGAACTTAACCTTTCTAACGATACCCTTTTTCTGTCTCAACTCCTCAAATTGACGGAGAGCAGACCCTACTAAAACAGGAGTGTCAATGAACATGAATCTTCAGTTTCTGTCACGCGATACCACGTTCCCGCTAGCAGCATTGTAGCCACAGAGGTTATATGCTAGGTCTAGTCTGTGTTTTATAAATGTGCATTTATATAAGGAACTGGCAACTCTTCTTATCCAGGTAGGTGACTTGATTTCAACATCTAAACAAAGTGGACAGGCTAGCATGTCAAGTTGGATATGGACAGGAGGGTGTTCATAACAGTTCAACTGTTCTGCCTTGTTAGCAAGCAAATAGATCCAAGTTGGCTAGACTTTACATATGAAGATTAGCTGGTTACTCACTAGCACGTGGGCTTGTGCTTCAGAGATTGTTTATGAGACATTTTCTATAATGCCTGCTACAAGACGTTGGTCATTATTAGTGGGGATGTGCATGGTTCTGGTTCAATTTGTAACAAAAAGGGCATTTTTATAGCCAGATCAGTGACTACTGCAAAAAAGCAGGTTAACCTATTATGATAAAATAATAAAATTATGGTCTTAAGGTTGTGGAAGGCTTATAATCTAGCCTAGGTATAATTGTACAAGCCCATAATTCATTAGTTTATTCCTGACTGTTTGAAATGCAGTGTATTAACATTTAATTGTGCAACAAAGCATATTTAGAGAAAAAAAGAAAATAAAAACAGAGATACTGTATATTGTTAATTGACCATTAGTTTGAAAGAATCGAGATCATGATTTTTAGGCCATATCACTTGGCTATAGCTCAAGCCCGACCAACACAGGGCATGAGGCGTTCTCCCATCCCACAGCTAGTGCAGCATTCTCACAACATTGCTGCAATGCTCGTGTCACGCTGTTTCCATATAGCGGCCTCATTAACACAGTTCCTGCTCTGCTCGGTGGAGCGCCACTTCCTACATTTTGGCCCCGTTAAAGATAGAAGTCTGCACCAATACTGTCATCTCAGATGGGAAATAGACCGAGTATGATCCTATGAGGAAGTAGGTTATATAGGCTAACAGCGCTTGTGAGCCACTAGGGACCCAAAAGGACAATATGCGATTCAATAAATAAAAAACGTCAGTTATAACTCCCCTATACTCGCACAAACCTATACAGCGTTGACTATTAGGAACGAGGCCAGCACTTATTGTGAGTGTGAGTGCCTAGAGGGAGAGACTAGAGCTGCTATGGACCATCTGTTTGAAAGCAGTGGTGTGTTAGTATGTGTCCTACCTGGTGCACCAGCAACTCGGCCACCTCTACGTGGTTGTTGAGTGCGGCCAGATGCAGGGCGGTGTAACCATCGTCCTTCTTCTCGTCAACAATCCAGGGCCGCGGCAGCTTGGACAGCAACACACGCATGGCACTGCAACGAGAGAGCGAAACCGAGAGGGAGAGAGAGGGATGAGTGGAAGGTGGCGGTGGGTGCATGACAACAGAATCCTAGGAAGGAAGGAAGGAAGGTAGGTCATGGGGGCGCAATCAATTGATCAGTGCTGAATGACTAGGGATGCATCCCAAATGGCACCCTATGCCCTATCTAGTGCACTACCTTTGATTAGACCCCTAACAGCCCTATGGGATAGGACAGTCATGGTCCAGTCACGTGGCCAGGATACATTTTGGAAATATAACATTCTATATCTCAAAGTCTGATACGCCCCTTGAAAGGCATCACTCCACAGAGGACCAACACACACTACAGACATACGGTAGTGCACCAAAACATCACACACCGGTTTGTTTTTTCCCCACAGCACATTCATTCTTCCATGGTAATTACTTGAATGCTAAAGTTGGGCTTGGGCTTGTAGCACAACCACAGCTTCTATTTAGGCTAATATTTGAGGAGTACTGTAGAAGTGCTTGATGGCATTTTAGAAACCCACGTCCTCAAGTCAAACCCAGTTGAAAGAGGAGAGTAAGACTTCTCCCGGTGAAGCTCTACAAAATAACCCGTTATTGAGATGCAAACTGGTAATTACACCATATTTAGCTGCATTCTGTCAGCTCTCCTTATGGGGTGTGTGTGTGTGAGAGAGAATCTATTGTTTAAACAGGGTTGTTTAAGAGGGATGCGTTGCGAGGCAGCAGCGAGTAGTTATGCTCCTGTTTGAAGGTCATTTGGAGGCTACATGCCTTATAGAGAGATGGCTGCTGCATGAGAAACTGCATGACATGAGAAGAAGGCAAGTAGTAGTGTGTCTGGACTGGAATAAAGCTTAATGACAATCTGCAGAGCACTTGCAAAAGAGAGCCAACTATGCAATGATGCCACACCAAAACGGAAAAGGGATAGAACATTGGACTGGAGAGAGCAAAATTACAATGGAAAACGAGCCTATATGGGCAGACCCTATTTGAACGTGGGAGAGAGAGGCGGAGAGGTAGAAGGACAGAGAGACGCATGCAACAAACCCCCTGCTGAGCAGACTGGGTCTTCCATCAAACTTCCTCAGCTAGCCAACACACATCCAATTATCTCTCCACCTCCTCTTGCCCTGCCCTGCCCAGCCCTGGGTAAGCAGCCTGGGCTAGAAGAGCCCAGTCCCCGGACCAGTCAAGTGGCTCTTATCCCAACACACACTGCATGTAGTGAGGCAATACCATAACCGACCTAATACAGTCAACCAGGTCACTATTGTCAAAAAGACTAAACCTGGCTATATCTACTGACTTTCTGTTGGGAAACTTTTCACCTTGGCCAGCCCTGGCTGTTGAGTGGCGTAGGTTGTATCTTTGAACTGCGACAAAAAAGCAGCAGCCAAGTTCACAAAGACTTTAGACATGGCTGAAAAAGCCCTGGCAAGGCAAGCAGTAGAGCACAAGCGGATGAAGGAAAAGAGAGTGCAGTAGTTGCTAGGTAGATATTAGGTCCTTGTACACATGTAGTAAGTAGTGAAACAAAAAGAAAGAACGATAGAGCAAGAAAGAAAGTAGAGATGCACGCACGCACATGCTGGGATTACAGTAGGCTTTGGGGCTCGGAGCTCTCTGGAGTACCAGTTAGCTGCAGGGTGGATTCTGCTAAACCAACACTCTCTCTCTCTCTCTCTCTCTCTTCCTTTAGAGTAATTACAAATAGCATCAGCATAGGAACCCTCCTAGCTGCAGCAGCAGTACAGTATATATCTTTACAGAGCAGAGCTGGCTGCTGTCCTACTGCAGCGCTGCAGAATCCACTGATCCCCAGTCTCTCTCTCTGTCTGTCTCCGCACAGCGTCTGTCTTACGCACACCTGCATTGCTTACAGCCATCTTAAAACGCTTAATGCAGGAGAGCGTGGCTTAAACGTGATGCCAATCAGCCGCAACTGCTACCAATTTCCTTAACAGTCAAGACCGGTCACTGCGAAATAGTGCAGTAGTTCGTAAGTAGATATAATGATCACGTGGGACACTTTCTAGAAATTTCCCTCAAGAACATTTAAACAATTGTATAAACTAACACAATGAAGTAATGAATATTTGACTGCTGTATTCTTTTACTCTGTTCTACAGGAAAAAGACACTTGAGTTGAGAGCGAAGACAATGTTCTCATCCCAAGAACTCTCTACAGCGTGACATTGAGAGTCAACCTTTCTGAATTGCACTCTCCTTGACTGCTACGGTTTTCATGAGACCCACAGGCAACCATCCCACGCAAAAGCCTTTGTTCTCTGGTCCCTGCTATCTGGGATCCTTGGGATGTCCCTACCCCCCATTGAAGTTGTAATGTAAAATGGTTAAAGCTGCAATATGTAACTTTTTGGGCGACCCGACCAAATTCACAGAAATGGGAGTTATAGATCTGTCAATCGCATTGAAAGCAAGTCTAAAAAGCAGTAGATATGTTCTATGTGCAGTATTTCTATACTTCCCGTTAAGTTTAGTTTTTGCGTCTTTTACTTTCAGTTTTGTATACCCACTTCAAACAACTGAAAATGGTTATTGAAAATATATTTCACAGTGGTTTAGACGGTACAATGATTCTCTACACTATACATTGTTTAGGCACAAACTTAAATTAGCAGATACCGATAGACTTCGTCATTGCGCTAACGCTAGTTAGCATTGGCACGCAAAACTACCCCTCTAACGTCCTTCAAACTGGACACAGAGACATAAAAATGGTATCCATGAGTTCATGACTCTGGGGAAGTAGATAAAAGGGCCTCATTGCCAAAATAGCCTATTTTGACTTTGTGTCTGTGGTAACTAGTGACTACCGCAAAGTAGCCTAAGTAGAAAATTACGCAATTATTCCAAAACTGCAGCTCATTGTTGGAACACATATTTCCCTACTTCAGTCAACCAGTTCATTTAGAATGTGATACAACTATCCTCACTTGGCAAGGAATGTAGCTTGTGTATCCCATCAGTTCGTTTTTATAGGCATTTATTTCTGTAGGCGCACTCAGCATGCGTGTAGAGGGAGCAGTCAGAACGCAATTGAGTGAGTGAGACACAGATGGGAAAGGGAATTTAGGGAGCAGAACTGTGCGATGCACAAACACAGCTGTAGCTCGGCCACCTTCCACTGCAGATGCGGAAGGCCAACAGAGGCAGATGCGGTGGATTGAGACGCAGCCAGTGCAAAAAAAACATCTCTAGCTTAAACTGACAGATTTTGATGGGCATTTATGTTACTTAGATTGAAGCACGGGTGTGTCAATAGACTTCAGGATTAAGGTAAACTTAAAGTTACAGTAAGGATAAGGGTTAATCTTAAGGTTTTGGGTAGGGACATTCCAAGGATCCCGGATAGCACTAACCTTAGTTCTCCCCCCTCAGGATTGGTCGAAAAATCTACTCAACAGACAACCTAACCAATGACAGCCCATCTTTTCTCCCCAGTCCCGGGTCCCCCACTATAGTGACTAGGGCCTGGCAGCAGACTAGTGGCCTCTGGTGTTTGCTAGGTGGTACTGCGGCACTGTGCTGCACTGGTCTATTAGTGCTGGTTGGGGTGGAGAGAGACAGAAAGGAGAGCCTCTCCAGTAAGAAGAAGCCTGACCATAAAGATAGATAGAGGTCGCACTTGCACACTGCATGGACAGCGCCATCGAGGACTTTTACAGAAGCTATCATGCCAAAGATAGGTATTCTCTCTTTCCAGCTCTATGAGGCTGACTAGATTGACAGGCTCCCTACTACGCTGGGTGAAATGGGCGGACACTAATATTAATGTCCCAGCCAGGCAGGCACTGCTGCAATGCAGTTAGCTATTTGCCGAAGAGGCAATACTTTTTTTTTTTTTAAGAAGGGGAGGATGAATGACGAAAGAAAGAACATACTAAATATCTCAAAAACTAGAAGCATCATTTTTGGGACAAATCATTCGCTAAATGCTAAACCTCGTTCAGATCCATTATTGAATAATGTGGCTATTGAGCAAGTTGGGGAGACTAAACTGCTAGGTGTAATCCTAGATAGCAAGCTTTCATGGTCAAAGCATAGACTCAGTGGTTGCTAAAACATAGAGGTCTGTCCATGATAGGACATTGCGCTGCCTTCTTGACATCTCAGTCAACCAGACAGGTCCTACAGGCCCTAGTTTTGTCGCACCTGGAATACGTGCGGCAAAGAAGGCCATAGGTAAATTGCAGTTGGTCCAGAACAAAGCAGCATGTAACGCACTTAGATGTAAATAGAGGGAAAGTGCCAGTAACATGCATGTAAGTCTCTTCTGGCTCAAAGTTGATGAGAGATTGACTGCATCACTATTGGTCTTTGTGCGAGGTATTGATGTGTTGAAGGTACCGAACTGTCATCGGTACAACACAAGACATGCAACATGGTCTCTTCACAGTCCCCAGGTCCAGAACAGAGGCTGGGAAATGCACAGTATTAAATAGAGCCATGACTACATGTAACTCTTCCACCCCAGGTAACTCAAGCTAGCAATACATTTACATTTAAGTCATTTAGCAGACGCTCTTATCCAGAGCGACTTACAGTTAGTGAGTGCATACATATTTTTTTCATACTGGCCCCCCGTTGGAAATGTTTTTTAAAACTGTTTTTATTGACCTCCTGAGTGGCGCAGTGGTCTATTGGCCTGAGCTACATCCCTGTAGGCCATTCCCTCCCCTACGCTGGACGACGCTGGGCCAATGGTGCACCACCCCATGGGTCTCCCGGTCGCGGCCGGCTACAACAGAGCCTGGATTCGAACTAGTGGTCAATAAAACCAGTTTAAAAAAAAACAGATAAAATAACTTACTGTACAAAGGGGACTGTGAAGAAAAAAAAGCAATTTTATATATCTTGTATTGTAATTTGTACTGTACTATTTATTAGTCCTAGATAATGTGTGTATGTACTGATATGTAGGCTGTGTGAGATGTTTTAAATCAAATCAAATTTTATTTGTCACATGCGCCGAATACAACAGGTGTAGACATTACCGTGAAATGCTTACTTACAGCCCTTAACCAACAATGCATAATTTTTTTTATAAAAAAGTAAAATAAAAAAAACAAAAAAGTGTTGAGGAAAAAAAGAGCAGAAGTAAAATAAAATAACAGTAGGGAGGATTATATACAGGGGGGTACCGGTGCAGAGTCAATGTGCGGGGGCACCGGCTAGTTGAGTTAATATGTACATGTAGGTAGAGTGAAAGTGACTATAAATAAATAATAATTAACAGAGTAGCAGCAGCGTAAAAAGATGGGGTGGGGGAAAGTGCAAATAGTCCGGGTAGCCATGATTAGCTGTTCAGGAGTCTTATGGCTTGGGGGTAGAAGCTGTTGAGAAGCCTTTTGGACCTAGACTTGGCGCTCCGGTACCGATTGCCGTGCGGTAGCAGAGAGAACAGTCTATGACTAGGGTGGCTGGAGTCTTTGACAATTTTGAGGGCCTTCCTCTGACACCGCCTGGTATAGAGGTCCTGGATGTCAGGAAGCTTGGCCCCAGTACTGGGCCGTACGTACTACCCTCTGTAGTGCCTTGCGGTCAGAGGACGAGCAGTTGCCATACCAGGCGGTGATGCAACCAGTCAGGATGCTCTCGATGGTGCAGCTGTAGAACGTTTTGAGGATCTGAGGACCCATGCCAAATCTTTTCAGTCTCCTGAGGGGGAATAGGCTTTGTCGTGCAATCTTCACGACTGTCTTGGGTGTGTTTGGACCATGATAGTTTGTTGGTGATGTGGACACCAAGGAACTTGAAGCTCTCAACCTGTTCCACTACAGCCCCGTCGATGAGAATGGGGGCATGCTCAGTCCTCTTTTTTTCCATGTAGTCCATAATCATCTCCTTTGTCTTGGTCACGTTGAGGGAGAGGTTGTTATCCTAGCACCACATGGCCAGGTCTCTGACCTCCTCCCTATAGGCTGTCTCATCGTTGTCGGTGATCAGGCCTACCACTGTTGTGTCATCGGCAAACGTAATGATGGTGTTGGAGTCGTGCCTGGCCATGCAGTCATGGGTGAACAGGGAGTACAGGAGGGGACTGAGCACGCACCCCTGAGGGGCCCCCGTGTTGAGGATCAGCGTGGCAGATGTGTTGTTACCTACCTTTACCACCTGGGGGCGGCCTGTCAGGAAGTCCAGGATCCAGTTGCAGAGTGAGGTGTTTAGTCCCAGGATCCTTAGCTTAGTGATGAGCTTTGAGGGCACTATGGTGTTGAACGCTGAGCTGTAGTCAATGAATAGCATTCTCACGTAGGTGTTCCTCTTGTCCAGGTGGGAAAGGGCAGTGTGGAGTGCAATAGAGATTGCATCATCTGTGGATCTGTTGGGGCAGTATGCAAATTGGAGT